ACTTATGAAAAAAAAAATGGGTAAAAAATAAAGGTTTATTAATAGCGTATATTGACAGCTAAAAAAAAGGGTTCAAAAAACAGAGAAAAGACTAAAGGCAAGGGGCTAACGCTGTGAAACTGGATGGATGTAAACCAAAAAAAAAAAAAAAAGGAAAGAACGAAAGAAAGAACGAAAAACTGAAAGTACGAAAGCATACAGTGGGGTTTGGGCATGGTTATCAAAAAAGGCGAGACAAGTTAAACCTTTTTAGTTTAGTGTTTGTTTTTTGTTTTTGGCAGGTGTTACCCCAAGGACGCACGCGCGCAACACCATGACTAGTAACAACATCAAATTCGAGCCTTTTGGCTTTGTCATAAGTCCACAAGTACGTCTACGAGGCCAATCGCATCTTCAGTTATTCAAAATTTTAACCGGTGAATTTATACGTGCGCGTGACAATTTATGCACGTTCTATACGGATGTCCGCTATGGACTGTGGTGACAGTATGTGCCATATAAAAATATCTCCTTAATTAAACTGCCAATAAAGATCTATGTTTAATGGTAAAGGATGTAGTTGTAAGGAAATCGTGAAGAGGGACCGGATAATGGATAAAAGCTCGAGAACAGCTGGTAGGGTTTTTTTCTTATATTTGTTTATTATAACCTGCTATCATCTTTACAATTACAGATTAAATGAGAAACGAAAATAAGCACCACTGCGTTGTGGCAATCTTATGATTATATCCTCTGTCTTGTCCTCTTCAAACTTTAGTTACCTGAAACAATGAGGAATGCAAAAATAGTGCAACTCAGCGCGGGATGCGTAAAGCAACGGTTGAATTAAAAGCGTCTTTTTTTGTGGCCCCCCAGAGTGCTTGCTCGTAGGCTATTCTTTTTAGGTTAGGTTCTCTTCTTGTATCTTATAAGCGTTTTATCGTAGATGAAAGCAGTTTGCATAAATGGTGACGTACATCCGGAAAAAGTGGATGCAAGCGGTTGCCTAAGGGGAAAAAAGCTTTTAAGGGATACGCGCACCCTTTTTCAGAAACTAGTAGCATACTGCTGTTTAACTCTTTGATACTTTGGAACAAATAACACCATAATAGTAGCAAGATTAGTGTCTCTAGGGTCAAAATAAACGACCCTAATGTGACTTATGTAATTTTTGTTTTTATTAGACATTGCTTAATAGAGAGAGATTTATAGTCAGGTTTACGGCAAACGGAAAACGGCAGACCCAAGTTGAGAATTTCTCAAAATAGAAAATGAGGAGATGAAAACACTCTAAAACAATTGTAATGGATGAAAGTAACGTGAAAGTACTTATTTTTATGTAGAAGTAAAAAACAGTTAAAGACAAGTAAAGGGAAAAAAGTTGGTCACGTGGCACAAATTCACATTTGCCGTTGGCCGCCTAAACGTGAGTCTAAATCTCTCTTAATATCTCACGATAATTTGTCGACTTTAAGTGACGGCTGAAACTAACTAAAAAAAGTTCCTAAGGTACAAGAGATGGGATTTATGTCACTAAGAAGTATTCTCTACTACTTCTACTACTACAAGTAAAAAGCCTGAGAGTATGTTTCAAAAACATTCGCCAAATTTTCAAGTAATTGTTTACCTTCCTCTCCGCTGCCAGGTGTACCAGCCAAAACATCAACCTCGATTTGCTTAGTAACCGTGCCAAATGGATTGGTGGCTTTACACTCGTAAGTCCCTGCGTCACTAGCAACAGCTCCAGAAATGATTAGTTCAACACCCGACAGCTTAGCATCCAGGTCATAAACGTTTTTAATTGTAACTCGGTTCTCGGGGAGTAGGCCTACAATTTTATAATGGCAAATTAGTGACAGAAAGGTTGGAAGGCGTTTAGTTTAAGACTCTTCAATGCAAATGCTTACCGCTTATTTTGCTCCAGGTAGCGGTCGGTGTAGGGCTTCCTTCAACGTTGCACAAGATAGAGATGGTTTCATCCTCAGTTACTGTGAAGTCAGAATCGGGCACCGTTTCGGTGATACTAAGGGGGCCTGCAAAGTATCAAGAGAAGATAGATTTACTGCGAGACGACCTCTCCCACAGCCGTTTGGAAGACAGATACTACGCTGAACCAAGAATGAGGCAACTAAGTGATACATATAAATAGAGCAAAAAGGAAGATATTTAAAGTTAAACGTGGGTGGAATAAAAGCAAATGATAAGTGAACGTGTCTTGAGACCATGCAGGGCGATCTGTAACAGATAAAGTTCTAGCTTTTTTCGGTGACCCAA